CTCTGTTTTTATCTCAATTATCGACTAAAAATTTGATAGATTTATTGCAAAGAAAAAAATTATTTTTCTTTTTATCATTTTGAATAAAATGAGACCAAAATTTTTTTATGCTAATGCTTTTGATTACGCACTTATGGATTAAAAAAAATTATCATATCAGGCAAAGTATTATATGTAAGAATAAAGCGAAATCAACTAATGATCTTGTAAATAGATAAGGCTGAAATTAAAATTGAGATCAAGAATTAATTTAATACACTGTACTAAAAAAGCCCAGGTCCGAATCCCGTGTCCTCCAATATATCCCAAGACATCACAACCACCATACAGGGATCGAATGAATAACCTTCAGATCGTCTGGTTCTTCTTCCTCACACTTCTTACATCTGCATTCAAATCCGTATACAGGTATCAGATGCATCGCCCTATCCCATTTTTTCAACGACGGATCGCAATACCTCACAACTATCTCTTCGCCGCGTTTGATATCTCTCACCGCCATCATCTCCATACTATTATGTCGGAATTCATAATCCGCCAACACCGGATCTCTGTCTCTTGAGAAATAAGTATTCGACAGTACATTCGGCGTACAAGAATGGTTAATCAAGGATATGTAATGAAATATGCAGGCCATATCTTCATTTCCGAATATGTTTACTTGTAATTTACACATCAACGTAATATAAACCCAAAAATCGAACTTCGTATCATACCAAGAGATACCGAGGATCCTAAGTGTTTCCAGGTAGAGGTTGAAGTAATACACTGGGAGAAATGAATTTCCGGATTTTGGGGGCGGTTGGTATTGGGCAAGGTCTCGGATTTGTGGGATGTCTAATGGATGGATGTTACTTATCTTGGCGATGGAAAATATTTTAAGTATAAAAAGTGGTGATGGGTCGGACTTTTGGCCATCGAGGATTGAAAGTATTGGCGAGAGAGTCTTACCACACAATGGAATGTGGTATTTGGACATGGCTATGTTATAACAACTATGAGAACAAAAAATTTCTTTGCATGAATTGTTATTTTGACAGTTGAAAATTGGTGGATGTTCAGGACTTTTTAGTTTTCGTGCACAGTTATTGCATTTTGGTGATTTGTAATCATGAATCGTGAGAAACGGGTCTTCACTCCAGATCACACTACCCTCGAGGATATCTTCTTGCGCAAAAATTCCCAGATGAACAGAAGAATTTCTTCCGGCTAGCCCCGTCGTTAAAATGCTATCCTTGTCTCCATTTGATTCCTGTTTACTCAATCTTTCGATCCTTACTTTTTTAGAAGAAATAGAGTTCAACTTATGCTGCAAAATCCGAACCCGTCCGCTTGATACTCTATCCATAAATCTCTTTTTATCCCAAGGATACTCAAACTTGCACGTCCCCATATTCATGGTCAATCCAATGATTTCAAATTTTTTGAAGTTCTTAATATTTTTATTTTTTAAAACTTCCAAAACGAAAGATATATTGTGAAATAACTGTTCATTGATTCGCGCTTGATACTCTTTTCTTTTGTTAGTAAGTTCTTCTCTTGCATTTTGCGTCAAGAATTTGCTATATTCTCGATGATTAAACAAGAGATCTAACACAGATACAGCACGTGAAACGAGTCCAGATCTGTAGAGGGATTCAGACATGTAGTCGTAAGATTTCACGAGTAAATGCTGTAGAGTTGGATCTGATAAGAGGCGTTTTGAAAAGCGGAAATCTCCATTTGCAATAGAGTTTGGAAAGTTATCGTCTGCAGAAGTCAAAAGGGACTGGGCTTTGAAAGCATCAATGTAGGAGAGTTCATAAATTGAGAGTTTTAAATTTATGAGGGCTCTATTGCACCATAAGGATGGATCCGTGGGCGCTTCGAAGAGGCGTCTTGTGTAGAAATCCCAGCATGAAAGGGGATCACGATCACAATTATGAAAAGTCTTTTCACAAGGACGGAAATCCATTTGAGTACGATGAATAAGCGAGGGACGAGAAAAGTTGTAGAATTTGTAGAATGTTCTGATTGATCAAACCATTTATGACACAATAACTAAGTCGTCATCGATATACTGTATATATTTAAGTGATGCTTTATTATTGAGAATTAGTCATTATATTCTTGAGTTATTTTATTTCTTGGTTCATTTTTTATCCGGCACAGTTTTGCAAACAGAATACCGAGGCAGTAGTTTTAGGAATATGGCTATATAATATATGCATTTGTAAATATAAATAAATAATATCATTATCCATATCTAGCCGAAATATGCGTAAATGCGAGCCTCTTAAATACGTAGATACCTATATTCTTTACTGGAATTTCGGTGGCTTAATCTTTGTAATACAATATAGATTAGATTTCAACATCCTTTCTATTTTTAATATTTCTGCATTCATGAACCAGATGACAAACCCTATTAAACTTGTGCAAAAAGGTGATCTGAATTCACTACAAACATATCTAGTTGCTTTCCCACGCGAAGAATCCTGTAAAATTGTGAATGCGCCCGATCAACACGGAGACACTCTGGTTCATTTTTCTGCACGGTTTCATAGAAAGGATATTCTCGCCTTATTGATCAAAAGCTATGGTGGAAATACTATGGCAGTAAACGAGCATGGTATTTACTTATCTGCTGCGTCGAAAAAAACCAAAAGGTATCGATATAATACAACACAATCGATCTTAAAAATACTTACAGGACGACAACCATTACATGAAGCAATTGACAGCTTTGAATGTGTAAGTTATTTGTGTGAACAGAATGTAGATATCGATTGTATGAAACGCGGAGACTGGACACCATTAATGATTGCAGGTGTGGACATCTTTCGTGTGATAAAAGATTTATACTAGTCTATACAGTATATTATGATAAATTGGTGGATTTTTGCAGCGATGAAAGGTAGACTCGATATCATAAAAGTACTCGTCAACTACGGTGCCAGAGTAGACCTTCAAAATAAAGACGGCTGGAATTGTCTTCATCTTGCTGCAAAGGAAGGTAATTTAAATCAAATATTATTTATGGCTTCTTATTCAATTCTTCGTTATGGTGTTTTTGTTTTTGTTTTTTTTTATAATGGAAAAAAAGGTCATCTCGAGATTGTTGTGTTTTTACACAGTCTCTCATCAACCCTATGTCTAGCGCAAAGTAAATCCGGTCGATTGCCAATTCATACAGCAGCATTATTTAATCATCCAGAAGTAGTTTTTTACTTTCTTGAAACTTCAAATGAGACAAAGCAATTTTTTCTGACCTCTGAGGATAACGGAGGAGCAGATCTCTTGCAAAATGCGGTAATTTCTAAAAACTTGGAGATGACCAAAAAGTTGATCGAGGAAAATAGTTGTGATGTGAATCATAAAGATAAAATCGGAAGAAGCGCTATCCATCATGCGTCAATGATTGGCGATATGAGTGTAATTAGATTATTGATTGAGTTTGGCGCAGATTTAAATATTTCCGATGATTGGGATAGATGGACTCCTTTACATCATGCATGTAAAGAAGGAAATTTAGAAGTGGTGAAATATTTTATAAACGATTGTTGTGCAGATACAAGTATCAGGGATAAACACGGAAGAGATCCAAAAGATGTTGGTAAGTACTATGCACATTCTATTCTCACATTCCTTTATTCTATAATTAATAATTTCGTTTTTGAAAAAATGATAAAGCGTTATTGTGGAATAGGCATGAAATTTCCAATTTATTTGCATAAAATTATGCCAATTATTAATTTCTTTGTAACTCTTATTTTAAGTATTGGTATTCTTACTATGCTAAATATCAAACTATTTTTTTTTTTTTTTGATAAATTTAAGAAATAAGATATTTTTTTATTTTATAAAAGAAAATTTAATTAAAATTAGTGTTAAAAATATTATTTTTTAATATTTTTTTTAATAATATTTTTATTGTATTAATTATTTTATTTGTATTGTAATTTGTTTTGATCTTAATGTTTACTGATCTTTAATATTTATTTTTATTATATTATAATTTGCTATAATGTTATTAAATTAATTTTTTTATACTTTTTTAATCACTTAATTAAATCAAATTGATATTAAATTATTATTATTATTATTATTATTTTTTTAACCAGCAATCATGCTACGATGGCTTGTCTTTATTGAAAAATTGAAGTAAATCTATAATATTTTACAGACTTTTACAACGTGACTAACTCGTCTTCATACAAAAGTACTCTAAGTCAGATCTTGGGGACAATATTACACTCCCTCAATAGATTGGTAATAATCTCTATCTATCAGGATCATTGCCAACAGTTTGTCACTATTGATTGCTCGAAAACCAATGA